AAGACTTCCTTTCTCGTGATTATCCAACACAACTACCCACTCGTTCCCTTCTATCTGCTTATGTCCTGGCACCCAGAATATAGCGACCCGTCTATTGAAGTACTCTATCTCTGTACTAAGTATTATACACAAAGTTAGTAGATTTTGTAATACAAAAGAGAGGAACCTACCGTTTTAAGCCGCCTTTGAAAAGCAAATGGTTTCATAGAGAAGCTCTTTTTATGGCAGAAATACACTAATGTTGTTCGGGTCAGGGATCGAACCCTGGACCTACCGAGTGTCATTCGCACCTCCAACGACTCCACCGTACACGTGAGTTAGGAGGGGTTAATGGTACTGGAGGGGTGAAGAATACTGCCATAGCCTGGCAATTTATATGACTACTGTAACTCGAACGACGGGCAAAATACCGCAGCTTCTACTCCATCAATAATTTTGGAGCCGTGTGTAAAGAAACTATAGGCGTTGCTATCGAATCTACAAACATAAGTCCATTGTTCCACCTGGCTTGCTCAGGTACTTATTATGTTCGGCCCCTTTTTATAGTTGGCCTGAGGAATTGTATAGCCTTAACTGTCGCAAATTGCTCTAACTAAGTAGGCAGTCGCTGTTTAATACCCAGTAACTCTTTGCCGACTTATCCAAAGTGTTCTCTGCAACTAAGCTTACTGAGTACATGTTTGGACTACAGTCGAGTGCTGCTGTTGCAGTATTGCAAAGAGATAAAGTTATACACGGACCTGCAACTCTCCGAACACTCTCCAGTTTCTTGACACACATCTTTTGGGTAACCAAAAAGTGGAAGCCACATACAAACACCTCTTTGCAAAACTTATCCACAAATTTTTAAGTACGACAATTGCTATATGTATGCACATTATAGTGGTACAAAAAAAAAACCGAATTTCTTGACAAACATCTTTTTGTGTAATGCCTTCCAAAATTTTTTTCTTTTGCCGAAAGAGATGCTTAAAGGTTAATTTCAAAGGATGCTCGTGAAATCTTTATATATTACTCTTGAAGTATACTATCCATATATTAACCAAACAATTGGTTAAGCAACCTGAGACCATTTCAAATTGAAGTTAGCTGAAAAAATATTACCAGCTTCAGTGGTCATGGCAATACCAGCTTTTTATAAAAATCATCAATATTTTTGTGAGTTTCAAAGGGATTCAGTGCATTGGTTACAGTAGTAAATTTAAAGTTGGTGTAGATATTACAAATACCAAAAGGAAAAAACTAAGGGGTGCCCTGTTTTCTACGATGAGATTTTTCCCCCCCATACAATATTTGGACCACTCTAATGTACATATGTATTCGGCTTGCGGTTTTAAAATCGTTTGCACTAGATAGCCGTAATAAGAAGGAATATTCGTGTTCTTTAAGCGTAAGATAGTAAAACATACGCCCCATATTTTTGTATGAAAATTGCTTGTATTTCATTGAAATGCCATTAGGGTTGTCTTTCAAGAATCAAAATCATGGGGCACACCTTTATTTTGTTCTACGTACTAAATTAAGACCTCCACAAAAATTTCAAAATTAAAAAAAAATTAGGGGTTGCTATCAGGGTTTATATTTTATTTTTTTATCGCGAAAATTCAATAAAACATTAATTGTTAAGGTATATAAGCGGTCGAATTTATCAGATTACAATTGAAAATTTTGTAGAATTTTTACCATTTCTAGAAAAATTTTAGTTTTTTGAAACCCCGGGTAGCGGCCCCAATTTTTTTTTATAATATTGAAATTTTTGTGGATGTTTTTATCGTATACGTGGAACTAAATAAAATGATGACGCATGCAAAATTTTATTGATGATATTTTTATCGACCACCCTAATAGACATATTAACAATTTAAAGTGCATATAATGTTCTTTTCGAGTTGAATTCAACCTCGGGCACTCAGAGTTCCATACACGGCCAGAAGGTTAAGGAAAGAAAGCTCATCTAGGCAGAACAAATATCTAGTTGAGTTGCCGTAATTTTGGGCTTTTCAAAAAGCGGACCTCTCTTTATGCTGAACGGTGAAGCATCATATTCTTTGGATACAAGTATGCACATAGCTAGTGACATTGAAAAAATAAACAATATTCGACTACTCTGTCAGCTGCCAGAATGTGGATGCGTCGAATAGAGCCATTGCAGGGCAAACAACTCCGCCCTTGGAAATTCTAAAATTTGACTTCTGCTTGTCGCATACACTGTGGCAGGCAACAGAAGCTGAACTCCAACCGTAAATGCAGTCTTCTCTGACTTTAATCAATCCAAAATTCAGCCCTCCATGCTCACTCCAGAGCCATTGAAGTTCTCCAATTGGACGAGTAGAGTTCACTTATCTGCATATGCCGTCGTATAATTTGTAATAACATCGATATAAAAACACTTTTGCAAATACATATTGCCTAAAGTGTTAGAGTGCGAATGTTCATTTGCACTTCAAAATGAAATCGTGAGAAAATACAATTGCAATTGCGCTGTTACTTTTTAAAGCTAAATACGAGTATTTCTTCATGGCAGCTCCATGAAATTTATCCCACCTCCCACTTTTGATGGCTTAGCAAGTGTGTCAATGGTTGCAAATGCAGCTATTGCCCGCTTGACTCACCAACCAGCAGGCAGGCAGGCAGGCAGGCAGGCATCAACGCGAATGCTTTCATTCCATCCTACTCGATGATACTCGAGCGACTGCCACTTTGATAGTGGTTAAAGTGCTTCCAAGTACATACTATGTAGTAGTCTGCCAAAGTAGTAGCCGTCGGCGCGCACACCAAGTGCTTGGCAAGCAGGATAAGAGCCAAAAGTGGGCTGTTGTATGTGTGTTTGATGACGATGATGGGTGCGCACCCATGAGGGTGGAAATAGGGCAATGGTTTTTTTGGTTTTTACTGTTCTACCATGCTGCTGTGATATACTACTCTAAAATTGACAGCCGAAAACGGACCAACCGACCGACTGTAGTAAAGTGTGACTAAGTCATTAATACGGGACTGTCAAACAATCCGTCAGTCAACGAATTGCATTGCTCAAATTTTGTTATAGCCTTAGTTCGTTCGTTTTACGACGCCAAGGTTTAGAGGCTTTGCATATTAATTCCTGGCTATTAATTGTGCAGCCAATTTGTACGCAGATAATTTACAAATATGTACATATTTTCATAAATGCACATATGTATGTATACGTAATTCTGTGGGTAAAATAAATAGCCTGCATTTAGGCCTAAGGTCATATGCGACAGAAAGAGATAAGCTGGCAAGCGTATCACGAAAAATTGCGTATTCCTTGCTATAAGCAGACTACTTTAATAGTAACACGAATGTAGAAATTGCAGTTAACAGAGGTAGTCCGCCAGAAGAATAATTTCTCTGACTATAGAACTCCAGTCTAGTCTAAGGCTAGTCGAAATTGCTGCAGTATATACACACATCACACCGAGTACTTTCGCTTTCGAGACTCAATATTGCTTAAACGCAGACATCACGAGGACACATGTAAGTAAATGATCACTGGGATCCCAGTATCTTCGTTCCGTATGCGGATAAAAACAACAACCCCCGGAGCTGACAGTATACGGACTGAGCTGTTCAAAGTCGGTGACGAAAATCTAGTTAGCCGTATGTTCCATAAGTTAGGCAAAACTTGCTTTGATGAACACATGGTCGATTATTAGGATTCCAAAGAGATCCTCCAGTTCCTTATAAGGTCCAATAGAATATACTGTCCCCACATTTTCCAGCTTAAAGAATCAGGCAAAAGAGATTGGTCTAACCTGTCAACAAACAAATAGTCTTGGCGTATTGGGACTCACATCACTGTTGTAAGTTAAATTTGGCTATATCACTGCCTGCTTAGGACCCAGCCAAGAATAGCTCTAACCAACAGGTGCTACTTTGGACTTGGTACGAAACTGACCAACAAAAATTACGCTTTACAAAGCTCAAATGGTGTCCGTTCTTTTGTATGGCGGAGAAAACGCGGACGACGTTGAACAAAGATAAAATGGCACAGCCAGCTTTCAAGAAACCTACTCTACGTAAGACCATGTGAACTATGGGCACTGAAGCAAAGATAATGCCATGCTTAAACACAAACAAATACATACAACGATTGTGTTGGCTAGTACAGGGTGAAATTATCCTTTGACCCGGCACCTATGGGTGGACAATGAAAGCGAGTGCGCCAACAAATCCGAATATAGCATTAACATCACCAACATTGTCAGCCTAAAATTCAAGCGGGAAGTAACTCATGCAAACAGGTCCATTTTGGGCTCGGTAGACAATTGAGAAACGGAGGCCTCTCTCGCGAAGAACGCTCTACGAATATCTCATCAATCCCGTCCTTTTATTTGGCGCAGAAACCGAAACGATTTCGAAGGTGAGATAGCTTTGGGGTTCTTTAAGAGAACTGTTCACTGGATGATATATATATATATATACATATGTCCCTGTTCGCGCACGTTTCAGTAAAAATATTCTTTGACTCGAAACCCATAGATGGAGAACGAAAGCAATGGCGCCCAAGCACTTAGGATGCGCAATTGCTGTAACTACCCAAAGGATAGAGGCAATCGGTAAAGTTTTTGATATCTGCCCAAACCAATAAAGCGCTAAATAGGAAAGAGAATTGACTCAACACACTGATATGGACGTGGTCATGAGCTTAGCACAGCAAATGTCATGGACACACAGTCGCACGGCCACTTAAAACGAACGCCCACATTCATGCATTGTATAGCGCTTCCGTTCAGGACACACTTTTATAACGCGACGCTCCGCAGTTGTGTTTATATTATGTATGTACGTATGTACATATTTATATAAGTACGTCCTTTTGGTTGCTTCTTTATTCACACCATTCATACTAAATCCTCCCACACACACACACATTCTCCTTTGGCATCGAGTATTTGTTTTCTTTTTGCCAGCCATCTGCTTGAATTGGTTTTACTACTTGTTGTTATAATTTTTGTTTTTGTAGTTTATGTGGTTCTTACTTGAAAATTCAGCTGCGCTCAAAAATGGCTGTTGCTGTCACGCATTTTTCTTTTTTGTTGTATGTATTTTATTTTGTTAAAATCCACCCTGTATTGTACAACACTTTTTTATGTTTTTGTTTTCATTGCCTTTCACTTTATGATGTTGTGGTTGTTGTTGTTGTTGGTATTATGTTATTGACTTACTTTACGCATTTTTATAATCTTATGCTTACTGAATAATTTACAGACACAATTTTAAATTTTTTTATTTCATTTTCTTATACACAATACACTTAACACTGTGCTTACGCTTTTTTATTCACATTTTTGAGCACTTAACTTTTTTTTTATTTATTTAATTTTTTCTCTTATTGGTTATAAATATTTTGATTTCCTTACACGCACATTGCCTTCTGCTGTAATTTGTATCACTTGCCGCAAATAATTTTATTATTTATTAACAGCGCGGCTACACTTTGTTGTTGCGTTCTGCGTCGGCTGCACTTTATTCGAATAACATGGAATTTCCTGCGTTGAGTCCGTGACCGTCACTAGCACTTCCGTTCTATACCACGTTAAATCTTAAACTGAGTGAAAATATTGCCACTGCCCGGTCTATGCGACCAAAATTGTTGGCAGAGAATTTGTTCGTGTGCCATGAGAGCCAGCTGGTTGCTCGTTCAATGTGAGCGCGAGAGCATTGTATCAAAACAACTCTGTTTAGCGTACAACTGGTGGGCATCATGTGGTTCTGAGTTATAGCTTACCATAAGCAAATGTCTAACCATAAACGGTGTGTTATTTGAACGAAATAGTAATTTTTCACTTCACTGTCGCTGTAAAATATTTCTGGAAATTAGTACTCAATATAATTGCTCAATTCTTTTCACCAGGTTTTTCACATGTCTTCCTCACCCGCTTGGGTACGGATTATTTTATTTGTTTCCCTTTTTTCGGCTGACTATATCAGATTTATGATAGCTATAATAAATTTATATTCATACATGTCTTAGTTTATTTTATTTTTTGTTAAATACCTTTAACTTCTGGGAAATCAATTATAAAAATCTGAGTACAAATTTTCTATCATTGTGGCGCTCCGTATGTTTATACTAATCTTTGTAGGTACAAATTTGTGTTTTGCGCTCTCAAATTGTATGGCATTGCCAGCCGGCCATGCCGGCATTATTTTTTTTCTTCGGCTGTGTAATCATTGTTGCCACTGGGCTCAGTTTTTTCCTACCAAAATCTTTAGGAAAAGTTACCAAATTTTTGGTATGTGCACTTACGACCTTTTCACACGTTAGTGATAAAGCTCATCGCATAATAATTTCTTCAACTACTGCGCTTAAAACTTTGACGTACCTACTCAATTGGTCATAACAATAACATAAAAAATTTCGTTCCATACATAACTCAAACTTTTTCTCAATTAATGCAAATCAATTTTTTGTATGCGAAAGTTTACAAAATGAAAACCAAGTTAACAATCAGTTTAAAAGTTATCTATTTTGGTAGAAATTTACCAACCGTGGCAACCGTGTGTTTAAAACAGCGATCGAAAATAATGATTATTTCAAAAATTTCAATGAAAAAAATCACAATGTTCAAAATATCGTAGAACAATTTCGAGTATATAAATGTGCATGTTTTTTCTAGCTCTGTATGTATCTTTTACGATTTCAAAATGTTTGAGCGATATCTATAAAAACTATAACTAAGAATTACATTTCGATTTGAAATTAATCGCTAAAGAAAAAAATATATTTCGGGTTATATTTTTTTGATCAAAAATAAAACTCATTTTACGAGTGTTCTTTTTTGCTCTGAAGTACTCATTATTTTGTGACTTGTTTGCTTTTTGATCAAAAATAATCATTATATTATGAGTTTTATATTTTTGATCAGAAATAATCATTATTATTTTAGTCTTATTTTTTTTGTCAAAAATAATGATTATTCTTGAAGTTTTATTATTTTGATCGAAAATAAAACCCCTTTCTTGAGCGTTATTTTTTCACCCAGAAATAAAAATTAACTTTTGAGTTTTTTTTTCTTTGCAGAAAAAATCAAACGGCCTCACTTCACCTAAACTCAACTCACCTCTCTCAACTCACCCTAACTCACCTCAACTCACGGCACCGCAATTCACCCCAACTCAACTCAACTACCTTACCTCAAGTCACCTCAACTCACGTCGTGTCAGTTCAGCGAAGCAAATCACAAATACATTAGGGGTATTCTCGAAGTCCGTGCTACGTGCAATGGCTTCGCTAGATTTGGAGAATACCCCAATTTTATTTTTGAATTGATCAGCGCGTATTTGTATAAGGATATCTTCCACACCTCTTTTGGTTTAGATATGATTTCTTATATATGTTACTTCTCTATCTTTGTATACTGTGAATATAAATATTTTTTCAAAAATAGTAATTTGTTGAAGTAAAATTTTCGTATATGCATAAAAGTTGTGAAGACAGCGGTACTCTAACTTGTTTTTTGCGGCTTAGTGTCGTTTTTTGATCGCAGCCTAATTTAACTTTTTAAAATGAATTATATACTCGTCCATAATTCAGTAAGCCGTAAACATGTTTGCAAGAATCTTCTAGGACTCAGTAGAATACCTTGCTTATCTTTATTATTTATAATAAAAAAAACCTCAATGTTCGTCAACTCTTGCCGTTGGTCAAACTGATCAAAGGATTTCTGCACACATACAAATTTATGTAATTCCTTCACCTGTGCACTTCTTTTCTTCGCTACTCAAATTGTAGACACTTTGTACTATGCCGTCTCATGGTTGTTGTATTGCATCTTTACTGTTATTACGATTTTATTAGCTAATCAGATTTTATTAGCAATATGGAAATTTCGCACATTTCCTCAAAATGTCTGCAATACATTTTTCTAATTTCCGAGAATTTCAACCCCTTTCCGTTCACCCAACACCCTTCAACGGCAAGAAGTTGTTTTGCGACGGGCTGTTCACCCTTGAATTGATGATGTTTTGCTAAGTGTTTCCGTTATTGGGCGTAAAATGCTCCGCTGGCAAAGTTATTTATATACATATGTAAATACATACATATCTACATGTGTAAGTAGCTTACAAAAGAGACGAAATGTTGAAAGAGACCACCTTAATATTGGCTAAAAAGTAACTCGCACAGTAAAAGCAGGTGTGGACAATGCAGTTGCGTACAAAAAGTTTACTTTTTCAGATGAATAAGGCAATCGAGATGGTGGATTGGCTTCGTAAATGTTGCTAGGGAAATCAGTTAAGCTTTGGTAAATCTTGTCGTTGAACTATAGTTTCTACACAATACTTATTAGTAGCTTTACATAAATATTGCTGCGCTTGAGAGAACTAAAATTTAAGTTAACCGGACAAGTCTTATTTCATATATGTACTTATATAGTAACCATAAGTGCCACTAGCCACACCAAATGAACTTTTTACGTAAAAAATTATGTTGACTTATACCAAAAAGTTTTATCTGCATACGTTGTCGGGATGAATAATAAGAGGAATCGATTTACTATTTCCTATGTCAATGTCAGGCTCTCCAGACTGGGTGACTCAATCACTTGGCCTGTTGATTTTTCCCCACGGACAGAGATAAGTAAGTGAAACTAACGGACTACAGAAACTACTTAGTGTAATAACACTTCGATATAAGCCAGGTTAGATGGATGTCTTCTTCTTCTTTATTGGCGCTGTAACCGCCTAAGCGATTTTGCCAAGCCAGCGGAGCCGCTGAATTTTAAATCGCTGCATATTGGGGTATTCACAACGGGGTCGTAAGTGTCGTATTGTTGTATGTCGTAAACTTTAAACGCCTGAGGAATGTAATAAGGCGGTTCGCAAAGTATCATCAAAGTAATAGTATGCATTTTCGCAGTTTTAAAAAATACTTGGTTGAGGTTTCAAGTTCTCTAGTTATACGACACTTACGACACCGTTATGAATCCCTCATATGTTTATATTGTTTTAAAGCTTATACAGCTCATCGTTAATCTTAAATCGAAAATTCCAAAGCCCCTCTCAGATGGATGTACCGCCTCCTTTTACTCATAGAAGGCATTCATAATGGGCAAATATGTATGTATACTCCCAGTGGAAGTATGAAGACTCATACTCGTTTTTCTAACCTTACCAAACCACTATAGTTACATATATGTTTTTATAAAGGAATTATGTACTAAAAATATTTCTATCGAGACGTGTCAAGAGTCAAAACTTGCAGTCCATCCTTGTCATGTCTCATGGCAACCTACACTTTAACTACTACATTTTAGTTCCACGGGCTTTATTAAATTCATTAGTAAAAATTTAGTGTAAGAAAGTATTTAGTCCTTTGCTTGTAAAAATAAAAGTATTTTTATTTAGATCTTCCAAAACAAAAAAGCTGCCCTAAACAAGAATTTAGCATGGATGAACAGGATATCTTCTTTTTCGGCAGTAAGAAAACCGAAAAAAACCAGTCTACATCAAAATTACAAGCAGAAGCCGATAATTCCAGTGCAACAAAAAGCCAAGTTATTATCTCACGGCCTACTGCAGAGGTGGATTATAAAACCAGTAATCCAAATACCGGTCTCGCCATCGTACTCAATCACAAATACTTAAGGGGACAAACTATTCGTAAAGGTACCGAGAAAGACCGGAGCGATGTTACATCAACTTTAGAGAATTATGGATTTGAAGTGCGCGTTTACAACGACTTAAAAGTGGGAAAGATAACAAAACTTCTGAAATCAGGTATGGTAAACTAATTTCTAGAGATAAGCTGGTAGTAACGATAAGCTAATAGTAACGATTAAATAATTTTTTGTTCACCATAGTTGCTGCTGAGGATCACAGCCAAAGTGATTGTTTCGTGCTTGTTGCTATGACCCATGGAGATAAGGGCAGAATATGCGCAACCGATGAATTTTACTCAACTGAAGAGCTGTGGGAGCCATTCCTCGGACAAAATTGTCCAACATTACTGGATAAGCCCAAGTTATTTTTTATACAGGTAAAATTTTTAAATCTTGCGCTTTTCCCCAGTGATCTACTAATGGTACAGAGACAAATGATACTAAGCATTGCTACGTCTATTTCTATGGGCTGCTCCTCAGCGCCTATGTTTGTGCTGATTTTCTATTTTCCAACTGCCGCCAATTACAAATGCCAACTGACGCCAAGTCCATCACTACATGGGCTTTCTACAGAGCACACAGTCCTCACCTACCTGGGCTTTCCACAGCAGAATAGGCCATCCTTTTTTTCTGCTGCCACAAGCGAGTTGAATACTTGCAGGGCTGGCGCATTTGTCTCCATTTATACGACACGACCGAGCCCGCTGCTGTATTTTAATTCGCCTCACTATATCGCTTTAAAGCCCATATAAATAGCACATCTTTCCATCGTCTGCGGTGTTCGCTGTCGCCAACGCGCAAAGACCCGTAAACCTGTCGCAGAATCTTACTCTCGAATACTCCAAGAGGCTCTACATCAAACGTTTTCATTGTACATGCCTTGCGCCATACGAACATGATGAATGAGAGAGGGATTTTTGAACGACGA